CTCTTACCAACTTTTATGAATCCTTATATGCGCCTGTACGAATTAACTCACCACTTCTGTGACCGCTTCCGTGTTGACTTCTTGAGCCCTTCCTTTGCATCATATCAATGCAGCACACTCGTGTTATGCAGAAAATGGCCATTTCTCCTTATATGTTTGCAGTTGTGGAAGACTAGGCAATTAGAATATTGAAGAGCAACACAAATGAGCGAGTGCGTCTAAAGGTCTGCTCCTCGAGAGGGGTGTCTGGGGTATTCGCTAGCAAAATAAGAAAACAATGGTACTGAACCCCGTACGACCCTAATTGCCCACCTTAATTCCCGTCTACCCTTGTCCAACAGTCCAACTGACTTGTCAACAACTACTTCAGCTGGGACAACAGCATCAAATACTTATGGTAATTATTTGACAATTTGTCTCCTTTTGCACTCTGACTTAGAATGAAACATAATTGTGGTATAAATGGCCACTGAGTCCCTCAATAGAGTTGACGTGTGGCCATATTCGAGAGCTTGTTAATCCCACTTACTAGGTTGTTCTGCAATGAGACACCTTGCCTGATCTCGCGTACAGTAGTCTGAGCCAACGCTTTCTGCTCACCCCTACCGATGATCTAGCGCAGGCACTATTGTTCTACCAACACAATTGCAAAGACAGACTTTTGCATTTAACCATTATCTTAACTGGCAGTCATGACATGTTACCAATTGATAAGCCACTATAACCCCGAGGATAGGAAGCAGTTAGAAAAAGATTGAACAATATGATTTTATATAAACTGTGTCAAAAGCCAAGTAATATACAGGCATCTACTTGGAGGGCTTCATTTCGTCAAGACCCTGCCGGATATAAATCTTCGGCGGTTTTGAGGGGTCTGCACATTCGTGGCCTTTGGACCAATCGTAGCCACAAGCGTAGGCAAACAAATTGCCATTTGGATCAAATGCACAAGCGGTCATTGGCATCTCAGCGTTTTCTAGTCCCCGAAGTTTGGTCCGAGCATCTTTGTCCCAAAAGGCATATCGCCCGTCTGAGCCAACGGTGGCCAGTGTTCCATGCACTGGATGAAAAGCCACGTCGTTAACCTACATCAGATGAAGGTGAAAACATTTTTGGTTCAGATTTGCAGTCAAGGAAGATAACTATCAACCCTTTGTGAATAGTTAGTTAGTTACTGAGTCGCCTAGTAACTGCGTTACCAGCGTTGGATGGAAGTCTAAGTAGCGATTTACATATTCGAACTCACAAGCTTAGCCTGGTAGTGGGAAATGAGATATGGAAAACAAGCAAACAACAACACAGTTCGAGTTTGAACTCACAGAAATTGGAATTTCCTTTGGGTGTTGTTTAAAATCAAAAGTGACAAAGTGAAAGTTCTTAGATATATTATGACTTGTTTAACCGCACCTTGATTAGTTAAAACATCTCCAAAATATGCCAGTACGTTGTGCGAGACGCTATTTTAATAACATTCGGTCTATAAAATGTGGATTTTTCAGATAATGGGATTTGAGGGAAGCTGAATTTTCACTTTAAAGTTAATTCTAAGGCCTAGTGCCACAATGCAGAGTACTGAACACGGATAAATACTTTTCACTAACTCAATTTTTTTAGTTACGAGAGACAATAACATACCATAGCTAACATAGTACCGACATTTAAAAGTGGGAACTCTAAGAGCTCTTTACATCTTTTGAAGTTCACGATATACAAGGCATTCGATTCAGTAACTAATTCAACATACTGCAATTTTAAGCTTCAATTTGAATCACCAGTTGGTTCATGTTTTTCATAAAAAAAATGTAAAACGATGATGTGCTGCTTTGATGGATAATTTACCTAAAAAACTTAATTTTATCAAGAGAATAAACAAACGAGGCATCAAAAGAGCGTAATTTGAAAACATAAAATTATCAAGACTTTAGTGCAAAACGTACAGCAAAGATCTCGTAGTACCCATTAACTGCTGAAGCAGAACGATGACACTTAAATGTGAAATTGTCTTTAGGTGCCGTAGGCTGGAAATATTGGATTGCAACTCGTCCTTCTATGCTTCCTAGGGCAAAACCTGCTGGAGATGACTTTTGTTTATCCATAAAAATGGAAACGCATCGGTTCTATAAACAAAAACAACAGAAAATAGTGCACGCTTAATTTTAGGAGCTTAAAAAAAACAAATGCAAACTTGCAGAATATGGTTGACATAAAAAGCTACAAGATGTAGACACCTTCGAGAAAATTCGATAACAGTACCAGTAAGGGCAAAAAATATTTTTTTACCAAATTTTAATGAATTAAAAGAACCCCAAGACTAACAATTCGCCTTCACTGCGAACAAAATATCGTATTAAACGTCCACAGCGTCACATAAAACCAGGGAGTAACACTATATAGAATGTTTTGTTTTACACTGCTCCATTTCAAGAAATTCACGATGAGATTTTGGCGTACAAGAGGAGGCAAAATCCAACGAAAAACCGACCGAGTCCAACATGAATGGTTAAAAAAGATGTTATGAATGGGACATTATAGACACCGAATAGAAAATTACGAGTACTACCGGACACGCAGTCCTTCATTGAAGCGAAATCATTGAAGTTACCTGGAACGTGAGTGGCGAATCAAGCTGAGCTGCGACAGTTGGACCCTTTTCCAACTGATACACAATAATCTGACGACCCGCCAAACCGACCACGGCAAGAGGATACACCACATCGGCGCAATACGTCCGCTCAGGCAGGTCGATGCATGACATTGGAGTAGGCTGGCGCATATCCCAGAACCTACAAACAGGAATTCATAAGACAAACATATTTTCACCATAGCATGGCACTAAATTGAGAATTTTTCCCACCTACTTCAGTTTTTTATCCCAGCCACCGGTCATTAGGCAAGTATAATTTGGTGAAGAAATGAAATGCACAGTTTTAATGGGGGCGTCATGTGCACCAACTTGAATAAATTGATTTGAAGAAAGGTCCCACATTTGAGCACATTTATCAGCCCCGACCGAAAAAATTTTTGTCCCATCGGTACTCCATGCAACACCGAGAGCAGGTCCTTGATGCACTTGTTCTGCTTTTGGGGTGGAAGTCCCATTAGCGGCTACTTCCCAAACACGAACACGGTTATCCCAACTCGTAGCTGCAAGATAAGAGGTCGCAGAATTAATAGTAGCTGGTGAAAACCGTAAACAAGAAACAGTATCAGCAGGTGGTGATTGAACTTCAGGATCCTTTTTAGTCTGCGAAGTTGTGGCAGTCGAAGAGGTCCCAAAAATACTCTTTCCAGCACCGAAGAATGCCATGACTTCTAATTCCAAACGTACGAAAGAACAAAAGTCACAGAAATTGACATTTAAAAATACAGATAAAATACACAGAGGTTTTGGCCATTTAAATTGCAGCACACTTTGGCAAACGGGTTCCACCCAAATTCTATAGTTGTTAATTTTCCGATTTGCTTTCCTATTAGCACAAATTAAAGCCTCACGAATCACAAAAATAGTTTAAATGGTGAATGCGCATAATTCAATCGCTTGCTAAAAATTTGGACTTGAAAGCGCGTTAAAGGTGTTCTCTTTTGAAAATTCAATCGTACAAATTAGTATAATAAAGGAACGATTTATTCTTTGAGCCCGTAACACAGCGTAACGAGGCTAATTAATATATACAAGGACTTTACACAAATGGACTGTTGTGAAATCTGCATTATTTGGGCGAATCTAATCGTGAGGGGCCAATTTTTGCTCAAAGAGAAGAACACTTAAGACTGTAAAATCATTTTTGTGCCTGTGTGATGCATATGAGGATATTTAATCGAGAACTAATGGACAATGTTCACTGAATTTTGTGAGTTATGGTCAGAATTATGCTTTCATCCCATGAGGACCTGGTACACAAGGGTCAGACGCTTCGTCCCTGTATGACCACGAATCACTTCAGTGCATATATATATACCCTTTGCTACAGTTTTTACCATCCCTTGCGCGTTTGGGTTCCATATTGGCGTTCTAAGTAGGATCGTTGTGGCTTTTCCTTACAACAAACAAATGAGGAAGTGTTCAAGCATATGTAGTATCCACACTTAAAGCGCAGATATTGAAAAAGTTATCTTTGACGTACACTTCTGACCTGAAATTGAGTAACTTTAAACAAGGTCTGATACAGAAGGGAAAATATAAGTTTTGCTTTGCATGTTAAGTAGTCACTTAGATATCCGAAACCAGAATCCTAGGCTTCTAACATTATAGAAAAATATTAGTAATCTAGCAACGGCGTGCCTTAAGTAAAGCGAATGATATGAATGTGGATATGAAATATTACAATTATACAGACTCCAAATGTCAAGAGAAATTGATTGTATAATTTTTGTGCATGCCTACTGGAAATACATAAATTAATCCTTTGAATTAAGGCTTGAACACCGAAATATATTTTTTTAAGCCAGCATAACCCATATCTCATCACTGAATGGAACTTTGCGAAACTGTGAGAATGTGGTCGATTCTCTGTAATTATGTATTTAAAAATGCTCTGAATTCAGTGTCCGGATATTTATTGCCAAGATCAAGCGTAAAATAGCTTATGCAACATCTTATTTACCACAATCCCTTCTGTATTTTATTAACCCCTTACCTAACAACGCACTTTTTTTTCGTATCACAGCAAGTCATCAAGCCGCAAAAATGACTATTCTACTGAGATTCCCTAAAGACCAGACTTGCTCAGGCTCAATCGTTCCAAATAATTAGATCCACAGACATTGCCACTGCTTCTGAAGGGGCATCAACAAGTTAGCTGGAGACAAGGATGAATGAGAAGCATTGAGAACTCAATTTAACGGCCCCTGATGGACAGTTTTGGCTTGTGATTTGTCAATAAAGGCAACTCTGTTTCACATTTCTCCGTCACACTTGAGTTTGAGCATTCTTCATTATCACAGTCAGTATTTCACTTTGGTCGCAGGCAACACGAATCTCTGCAAAATTCAAAGCCTGTTGTTTTAGCTTTTTTAGTCGCTGTTATACTGTTACGGACTGGCAGCAATCGTGCCTGAGTGAACACTGTTTACCTGTTTACCGGTGTTAATGACTCATCCCCCTTGAATTGGTTACCGCTATCAGATGCCTATCATCAGTTCACTCATCCACACACTTGACTGGCGTGGCACAAATGAACGTCAGTGTCACCTCTCTTCCTCTTCTCCTCAGGCTGTCATGAACCGTTAACTAGAGGGCTGCAAGGTAGTGCTAAACGAAGTCGCCACACTGCAACCCTAATGTATGCCACCTTTCATTAAAACAGAAACCATCACGTTCTAATAAGGTCGAAGTTTTTAGGCAAAATAAGTTAAGGTGGCATTAATAACTGGGTTTCTTCATGATTAGTTGGGTGATATGTCAGTCTGAACCTACAGACCCACTTCATAAAGAAAAATTTGAATGTGCCATCTTGAAATATTTAGGATAAATTGCAAACTTAAAACCATGCATAAAGCCCACCAGATCTTCTTTAACCACGACAGTGCGAACTGAAACAAAGGTGATACCATTGAAGCTCCTTTGGTTAGATTAAGAGTGGGATAGATTTTACCAGTTTGAGCACTGCAGTGAAGAAAAGTATACCGAGCAGTAATAACTATAATATCACGACGTTGATTCATGCATTCATGACGAAATAGATTGCGGCAGTTTTCTCGAAAAAGTCCCAAATTTTTTTACCACATTAGGTTGTCATGATTATACATTAAAAATCTCAACCCCTGAAGAATTTTGATGATATGCATAATATAGGGCATTAGGGTAGTAGTTTATGCATAATTGCAGTGCCATGGTTCAAATTTGATTCCCATAGGCTGGTTTAGCATTTTTTGAAGTTATCGGGCACAATGTAATTCAAAATTCTCACACTTTAATTGTCGTTGGAGAGTAAAGTTTTGTTCTGCGATGCACAACTACATATTTTATGAAACAGTTGCATTAGTTCACTAATAGGATACACCGATTGCCAAAAAAGGAGCAGCCATATTAAGCCACTCCTCAAAATTCACCCATAATGGTTTTAAGGAGTTTATTTTTTTTAAAAAAATGCCGACTGAATTAACTATGGATAATCAAGCATTATAGTAGAAAAGAAAGTCACCTTGCTGTAGCAATTAAATTCAGGTAGCGGTCGAAGACATTTTTATGTGTACCACATTGGACATGTTTCACAACAAATGAGTTTAAGGTATTTTTGGTCAATCTCGTTAATCTGCTGTCGTTACCACGGCTCCGCGTAACCGAACTCAGTCCCAATCTATCCTTGATTTCCTGCTGAACCGTCTGACCCTTCACCCATGCGCACACTTCAGACTCCTCTGGACATCCATTTCAACATACCAGTACCACTGCGTTCCAACCCTTAACGCCAATGATCCATAGCTATGCGTTTACAAACATGAGACAGCGGCCTGCTAGAAGGAATTTCCGCCATAGTTTTGGTCTTTCTGAGCTTCTCTAGGTAAGAAGTGTCTTATCTAGCTAACGAAATCATGCTGCTCCAATGTGGGCCTCTTCAGGCTCCTCTCACATCAGTGATTAAAGGTTCTGATCTTGTTCCGAAAGCACGTTTCAGTCATACCTTTCACCATTTTTTGCTTCAAACCCACGAAATACTTATTTTAAAGTCCATTTATTTAACTTTAGTTTAACTAAAGTCATTGAATCAGAGCACCAACTCCAAAATTTTTGTCAGCACTTGGCAGAAGACAAACCACAAGGTACAGACACTCATGCATGTTATTACCGATCTCCATACTGGTTCTCCTGCTGGTATGAATAGGACTGTTGTGTAATCCAATGATACCCCAGGATTCGCAAGTTAACTTTGAATATGGGACAAACGATTGTACACTCATTATGATTATCCTAAAAATTGTTGCAGTATATCCCGGTAGAACAAGTTTTGACCTGCATAGGTTGATACAAAACTGATTCAAGGTAAACTTGTTGATTTTGCCTGATTTTAAAGCCGATCATGGTGATTTACGCCCAGCAGCCATGTCGATCGTCCTTTCACAGCATCCCCATCAATTCGGCACACACACCCGTGCACACATCGCCTCAGTCACTCATGCCACACATCCTGCCAATCAGGAACTCGCACAAGCGTCAGTTCATCCGAAGTCAGCATAGCGTGACTGGGTTTTGTACAATCCGAGGGCCCGATGTGATTCGAGACCCACACCAAGGCCTCAAAACATCCAGCCCAGAGGGATTCCTGTCTGTCTCTACATCGGATTACTTTGCAGCGCTCTAGAAATATATTTACCTAAAAGAGTAGAATTAACGTGTGCCCAAAACTATGTTCATAAGCGTAAGGCTCATTTGAAGCAACTGACTTCCCTGTAGACATGTCGCTGTAATATCTGCTGTTTTATTTTAGAATCCAGATTCTTACTTTTTAACGTTGTTAAACGCAAAGTAGTGAGCTAAAGAGCTCTATTTGTTCATATCCGAATTAAACGGGTCCTGATTGATTAGCGTTAATAATTATCACATGCAATATAATATTTTTAATCATCTTTACAACCAAATTTCTTGCAAATTGCATAAGCTTCAATGACGTACTTTTGAAATGCAAGTTGGTTAGTGCGTGCTGTTAAAGCCAATGGTGATCTTGAAAAATTTGAAAGCGACACAACAGAGGCGGCCCATATTTGGGTTGCGATTTTTAAAAAAACAACAATTTCTGGTAAATAAATGTGTGAGTATCAAGTTGTGTCCAATAGTGAAGTCCTTTTCACCTTAGGAAACGCCGCTTTTTAAGTACACAACGGATTAAGATGTTGCACATAGTGATATATTGATGAGGAAAACTTAAAAAAATTAATTTTTATACGTGGTATTTATGAATAGGGATATGGGTTCAATAAAACTTTGGGCTGAAGTCCTTACCGCACATGCCATGATTGAGATCGACAACGCTGCCAAGGGATAAAAAACCACGCTTTTCACCAAAATTTAAGATTTGATTCAATGCGACGTATGTATGTTCGTAGAATACACATGCTAAATGCTATGAAATTTTCAAGTCTAGTAGACTTCTAAACCCTTTACAAAACCTTGCAAATCACAGATTATTGGAACCAACGCGTCGTTTTATCAGTCGATCTCGGAGCAGGTTTGCCACACAAATCAGTCTAATTATGCCGGTTAGGGTTTCAAGGTTTCAACAGAAATTTCCAAGTCACTATAGATTGATCCGTCGTTTCAATCTCGAAGGCCCATTTCCTGAGGATGCGCATTTCCATTCTCAAGAGCCA